TTCTAAAGGAGACAAAGATTAAAAAGCTGTCTTCTTGGTATTTATAAAGGGCAGCAGCCATTCAACCCAGTGCTGTTACAGAGCAGAACTTAACAAAATAAATTAGATGACTTATCCTCGCCACTCAATTCCTCAGAAAATACTGTGTCTTAATACATGAAATGCACTTCTTCAGCTAAAGCAATGTACAATAACAAAGAGGGACGATAGTATGCTATGGTCTTAAATAATATTCAACCTGCATTGGTATTCAGATGGTTTTGGGGCTGGGGAATTAGCTCAGCGGCAAAAGCGCTGCCTGGCAAGCGCAAGGTCATGAATTCGGTTCCCGGTACCGGAGAAAAAACAAAAAAAACCAAAAACAAAACAAAACAGATGGTTTTGAACTGCAAATTGTACCTATACATGTACAATTTCCAGTATTAAACATATTTGGTATTTTTAGAATTATCACAATTACTAAAAATATAAACATTAATGATCTCATTTTAGTTTTTTTCCAAAATTGAGCTAATATAACTTTGATTCCTTTAAAACATTTCATTTGCATGCTTGGAAATTATTGATTATCCAATTCCTGTGCTCCCCTTTAAATTGAAAGACTTACAATAGAGGTTTTCTAGTGAAGAACAGCTCTGTGGGAATCAATTTCACTTTTCTAAGCTTCTCATCAAAACTCAAGATGAAGCATTGTATCATCTCTGAATAGCATGCATTTTTCCCAGAAAAAGTCTCTGATGTTCTGTACTACATAACAAAACTTTCATTATAGACATTAGGAGGAAGATGCTGTAGAACTGAAGCTTCACCACTGAAAAAATGAAGAGCATAGTATAAGATGGGCCACAGCATCACATTTTTCTTCAGGAAGTTGATGGAAAAAAATAGTTTCACTCAAACATTAATGGCAGGAAGCTTACCTGGTGAAAGAGGATGAGATGAGAAAAATGCTATCGTCAGAGGAATTAACATTTGCCAAGCAATTAATCTTTTGCAAGTATGCATTTCTCTAAAGAAAATTTAGACATGTTTGTGTAGTACTTTCGTTTTCCAGAGAAAATAAGGCTTAGCAAATCGCAGTAGTGTGTTTTGTTTTACTTTTATCTTCAGCTCAGAAAAAGAGATTTTGGGTCAAAATCAGGGTGTGTCTAGGTCATTTACCAGATTCAGCCTGGTGGCTCTTGGCTCAATCGATTGGTTTTCATCCGCATAATTACCAGGAAATTGTGGCGCTCTGAGGTAACCAACTTAACAATTGTGATTGAAAATTAGTATAAAAAATAAACAAATAACTGAAGCCCATTTTAGTTTTGTGTATCCAGAAAAGCCTGACACAAGTGGGTTCTGTAAAAGTGACTTTTAGTCATGGTTCATCATTTTTCCTTCCCGAGTGTCTTTAGAAAAGGGATAAAGAATCCGCATGTCTTAATGCCTGTGATCCTACCCCTGGGGAGGCACCTAAATTTATCCTGGGAAACACTGATTTATAGTGGTGCCTTTCAAACTTGAATGCACATCAAAATCCTTTGCAGTCCTTATTAAAAGGAAGACTGATTCTGTAAGTCCAGAAAAGTGCGTTCCATTCTGCATGTCCAAATTCTCCTGGAGAAGGCCGCTGCTCTTCCCATGGACCACACCTGCACACCTCTGGCTGCAAGACTTTAAGCCGTAATAAAAGCACCTGGGTTCTAACTTATCCTGACGGGTGGGGCTCATCTTTAGAAGTTGATTTCTAGGTAAAGAAGTCAATTTTAGTCCTTGCTGTAGACCACTGTGCACGGCCATCAGGTAAAAGGACAGGTTTCACCTTGGGTATTCCAGGCCTGCTCCGCCAGCATAAGTAGTGGATGCAGCAGCCAGTCTTTCAGTTCATATCCTGAAGGTGTGGGTGCTCCTCACCTCTGCACGCTGCCCCCTGGCCGCTCCCTCGGAGTAAACGTTTGCCATTGGGGTTGGATCACTGAGAATCTCCCTTATAAACAGCGCCTCTGGCTGTGAGAAGATGCCAGTACTCACAATACACACAGTTTCTTTTCGTTTTTCAAGAGTTAAAAAAAATCTACAAATGTTTCAAACATATTGCGATGTTTAGAAAATAGCAGAAAACACACCTTCGTTTGTTGTTGTTTGTTTTTCTTTCTCCCCTTGAATATGATCTTGCATCTTGTCTAAAGAAAAACCTCCTTCTTGATCTTGTTGCATCCTTTATTTCATATCATATTTTAGGTTATTTTAGATTTTTAAAAAGATATATCTATAACCATATCTATATGTATTTCTCTACAGTTGGTCAATGACAGATATACAAAATAATATGTAGTATTTTTCTTATTTTTTACTTAGTACAAGTTACATGTTATTTCAATTCGTTCAGCTGATATAAAATTAGGACTATGAATTTATATCTCACCCCCACACATAAACTATTGATTATCATTTCATTGCTTATAAAAGTGTTTCTTCATGCCCCTAATATGAGAGAAGTTTCCATAGTATTTAAGTTGTAAACAATGTTGCAGTCACCATGCAGGCCATATGCCCTTGTGGACACAAGCATGGCTTGGTTATAAGTGTTCTTAAGTGCTGTTTGTATTTATGCACATTCTGTGTATTTAACCAACTCCATGGGAGATATTTTAGGGTGCACCTACCATATGTTTGTGTAGGTAATTATGTTTCATACTCTGTTATTCTTTCTCAGAAAGATTTTTTAAAATATATAGTTGTTTACTCTGGTCCTTTGACCACTTATAATTTCTTATAATATTGTATAACTTGTATTTCATTTATTCATGCATTCTATGTACTAATCATTTTTCAGTTATGTATTTTGGAAATATATCTGGATATAAACAACTTCTAAATGCAGGTATGAGGATTATATTAATATAGGAAATCTATTGAACTTTTCCTTTGTGTTTCCATTTCATAATCATGTGAATACCCTATTTTTTAATTGTTTTCTTTATAAAATTCCATTTTTGTTCACATATCTTTAAGCATCATAGATGATATTTTTGCAAGCTTACAATCAGAGCATGTTTTCTTTCACATAGATACATATTATGTATAGCACCTTTTATTAAATATGCTAATTTGTGATTTCACCTGTCATAAGAGTTTGTAGCACTATGTGTATGAGTTTGTGGTATGGATACACTTCATGATTTTTCCTTTAGTCATTATGCTGCTTGGCATCATACCCACACTATAGCATCTGAAAATGTTTTCATAAATCCCAACTCAGTTCTTCAATTTGTTTTGGCCATTCCTGTACCTTTCTTCCTCCACACGAACTTTACATCAGTTTTCTTAAGTTTCATTAAAAGTAGTTGATTGAACTTTTTTGGAATTATGTGGAGCTATTACCATGATTTAATAAAAGAAATACTTTGAATAATATATTTCTCTTCCTGGGAAATATATACCTCACTTTAAATTCTTGGTAAGTTATTGTCATTACTAAAAATTAACATATATATATATATGTATATCTCTAAAATCTCCTCAGGTAGGTATGCAGAAGAAATGGATGGTAACTTCATTTTAGTTATATATTCATACATTATTTATGAGAATGCTGTTGGTTTTTGAATGACTCATACTGGATTAGTTTATTACAAAATCACATTTTTATGTAATGGGCATCTTATTTTTCCTGTCATATCATTTTTTATTATTTCATTTTGTTCCATTGTGTAAAGCCTCAAGTACAATGTGATGCATGAATAGTAACCGTGGCAATGACTGTATGTTCCATAATTTGATGCGAATTCTACAGTTTCTAAGCATGCTGTTTAAGTTGGATCCATAAATTGTGGATATTGTGAAGTTTTTCTCATAAACTGAAATGATTTAACCACTTTTTCTCCTCTAATTTGTTATTATGTAGTGTTTATCATAGTCTGCCTAACATTCCTGATAGCCCTTTGGCCATTCTAAGGGGAATGTATTTATTCATGATGTCCAGTGCATTTTCATAATTTGATAACTAATACTTTGATGACAATATTCTATGTAACATTTTTGCACCTATAATCTTAAGTTTGATCTGTCTGTAATTCTCTTTTCAGGCTATCTTTCCCTGTTTTGTCATCACAGTTCTACCAGCCTCATAAAATGAGTTTGGAAAGTCTTATTTTTCTCTCTGCAGAACAGTTTATATACCTTGTTCTTTTCAGGTTATATAGAATGTGGTCATAAAATTATTTGGGCCTGGTATATATTTGGGCTGAGAGGAAGAGAAGGACATTATATTTTAAACTGTAGCTGTTATATCTTTTATTTCATAAGCAATCTGTTGAAGTATGTATTTCACTTTTGAGCCAGTTCTAATATTTCTTAGCTTAATGCTGTCTCCTTATGTGAATTATGTTTACTTCTATCACTTGTTTATTGAAGCTTTAAGGTGAATGTTCTACACTTTTAGTTCTGATTATGTTCTTGTTCGTTTAGTTCCTGTTTTCCTGATTCACCACAACACAGTTTCATGCCCTATATTTGTCCTTTTCAAAGTATCAGATTTTAAAAAAATAGTTTCTGCAATCCTTTACTTGCTATTTAATTGGCTGTTATATACTATTAACTTCACAATTTCTTACATGCTTCCTTTCTCTAGCTCGATGACATAAACATTCATCATACTGTTCTGAACGTTCCATGGGAATGAATTTTTATATAATTTTTATTTTTATTAATGCGTATTTACTTTATGTAATGATTGCATTCATCACGAGGAGTTGGTGCAGGAACGTTACACATCTTCGCTCTTTTTAATCCCTGTCCCCTCCCCTGTCTCCTCCGCCCTCCGTCTCTCAGACCCATCCCTTTCACAAAAGATCCATCTCTGTTTCCTGGAATCTCTCTTTTATTTCGCTCTGCATGTGTGCTTTGTGGTCCTCGTATAAGAGCAACTGTGCAATATTTGAATCATTTCTAGAAAAACGCATGCCCCTTGAGAACATAATGTTAAAGGAATAAGTTTAAAAATGGAAGGTTACCTCGAAGTACTGTCATAGCTGCGACTCAGTTGTCCACGTGTGCTGGCAGTGTTGGTCCGCACGCTCAGACTTGCAAGGTGGGGCCCAGTGGCAGGTGATTAGGGCAGGAGGGTTCCATTCTCGGGTTGGATTTATGCGACTGCAGAGTGGTTCTGGAAGTGAGCTTGCTCCCCTGGCTTTCGGCTGCGGCGCCTTCTGCAGCGCGGGGCTCTGCGGTCTTCCCTTTGGCCTTGCCCCTCCCAGCGCGCGATCCCACAGTGAGCAGGTGTTCTGCGTGTGGCAACGTCTACAACTGGGAGCGAATATACCTCCACACATTGTGCGGTCAGAGCCGCGCAGCACCTACCAAGACATGGTGCTGAACTCCTTGTAATTTCTACTACTTCTTCCTTCATTGCTAACTACCCATATATATATATATAATTACAATGGCTATGTGATTTCTTATATATAGTTATATAATGCTGTATTATATACTCATTTATTTTTATATATTATTTTTTATACAATGTTTATATTGATATACAAATATATACATAATTTTACATGAAATATAAATTTTATAAAAATATATATATATATTTTTTGGTACTGGGAATTGAACTCATGACCTCAGGCTTGCCAGGCAAGTGATTATGCCACTGAACAATATCCCCAGCAATGTTTATAGATGCTATATAAATGTTTATGTTTATTTATATGTTATATATTCGTATATTATATATGGGTATATTATATATGAACAATATATGTTTAAATATAATACATATTAACCTAATATATAATATATTCACGTATATATTAATATACAATGTTCATATATAATATAGCATATATAATGTTCACATAGATTATTCATACATAGTTTCATGTGTAATTTTCTGAAATATGAATTCCTGAGGACTCTTATTAATAGAAAATGTTAATTTCATGGAATTGCTATGTTAGACTTTTTCTCTATTCTCCACTGATAATTGAAAGGGTCTACGTACACCAAGAGTCACATGGATTGTCTGGTTTCTGGTATATCTCTCTCTCTGTTTCACAAGCCCATCCATACATCATTCTGATAACTATTCTCTCACTATTCAATTCTTTCCAGATTCATGGGAATCTCTTGCTTTGTAATTTCTTGACAAAGGTTGTTACAAAAACAGTTAAAACTTCTCATTATTCTGCATATTTATCAGTTTAGGAGAGTGAGTTGAGAATTTTTATTTCTTCTAATTTGATCTCATAATGGCACGTGTCTGTGGTTTCTGATATGAAATAATAGGTATTTTTTATACTTGTGCTTTTATTATTCTACATCAAAACTATACATATTTACTTTCATTCACTTGGTCCATTTTGCATGATTTATATTATTAATCATTTAAATTATTAATAATTTAAGTGAATTTATGATGCCAAAATTCTCTCATTATTACTTGAGACTTACCCTCTGTGATTCATAATGTCCCAGTGTTATCCTCAAATACATGATTTATTCACTAACTCCCTGTTTAATTCTGTCTTAGCTCCTGTTGAAGTCACACATTTCAACTTTAACTGAACAACTGTACCTTTTTTTCCAAAAGTTATTTTGGACCCCCCCAAGTCTATGCTACCATTTTCCTGTAACTTTTCCCTTTTTCTGTTTTCCTTACTTCCCTTCAGCTCATCAATTATAAAGTATGCTAATTTCATTAAACCATTCAGTTTTGAGGTTAGCTCCAGGCGGAGGAGGCTTATCTCTCCTCATTTCATGTCTGCTTCTTTTCAGTATGGTAGGTAATTCACTCTAGTCAGTTAGCGTTTCTTTTTCCTTTACTCATTTAATTATTTCTATTCTGAGAAACGCTGGTATTTGAACTATTCCTCCAAATGGGTCTCAGATTTGCATCTGTTTCCCATACTAGGAAATGTTGGCATGAAGTTTCCATTTCATCATAAAGGTACCCTTACCCTCCTTGCACAAGTCTCCCTAGACACCGTCTCATCACCCTATTTATTAGTTCTCCAGCCCGTCCTTCAGTGGTCCGCGTTATTGTCTTCCAACTGAATCTATTAACACTGCAAAGATGACGCTTTCCTCTCAGCCATGAGCTTCACCTCTTTCCATATTGAGGCTGAGATACTTGGTTTCTTCCCCAGGCAACTCTCCATTTCAGTGTGCACCTGAGCATTGTCATCTGCCCTCTTCCAGGTGCCAGCTTCCTCCACGGAATTTTCATCGTGGTTAGGAGCAAATAATACTTTTTGAAAATTGTATTTAATCTGTATTCTTAAATTATTAAATTATTTGTAGGAGGATATTCATACTTTCCCTTCTGTCTTGTTTTATTCAGATCATAACGCTGGGCTACCTCTTTCTCTCTTATGCATAGATGCAAGACAGTGAGATTTAATTGCTTCTGTTTAAGTCAATGTACTATACTTGATCTCATCAAAACAGTCAATCCCTTGGGTTAGTTTATTCCTTTTTAACTTCCCACTGTTAAGGCCTTTATACTGTTTTGAGCATTTAGTCACGATCACCCACACATCACTCCCACACTAGAATTCTCACTCACCCCCTCGCTTCTCGTTCCAGATGCCCTGCCGTGGCCAAGTCTGTTTTGTCTCCACTCCTTTCACTACTTACATTCATTCTCTCCCACAGACCTATCTCACTGTAGACTAAATGATGAAAACCTTTTTAAAAATCAAATTGTTTCTCCCTGCTTAACACTCCTGATGGCTTTCCATGCCTGTAGACAAAATCCCTTAATGGTAATTCAAGGGAAGCTCCATGGTGTTAGCTGGGGCTGCCTCTCTACTACAAGTATTTGTTTTCCATTCACTTTCATCATTCCAAGGGTTTGGCTTACTAGTTGTTACGGCTTGTATCGTGATGTCTCCCCAAAGCTTCATGCACTCAAAGGTGGGGATTTTCAGAGCTGACTGGATCTAGGGTTATGCTGGGATTGAGGGTGCCCCACCCCGAGTGTTGGAGGCAAAACCCAGAGGGCAGGTAGTTTGGATGAAATACAAAGATAGCATTGGTTGCTTGCTGCTGCTGCTTTGCTGCTTCACTGCTTGTTGCCTTCTGCCTGCCTTGTCATGTCATGGACCATTTCTCCCCTTTGCCATGTTATCTCACTTGGTGGCACCCAATCATGGGGTGAAAGGTCTACAAACCGTGAGCTAAATAAACCTGTCATTCTTTAATTTTGGGTGCTGGATATTTTATCTTGGCAATTAGAAAAGTAACTAAGACACTAGAGAAATGTGTTCATGTATAGCTACATTAAAACCCAAGGATTTTCACAGAAGGGCCTTGGAATTGTGGCCTCACTTGAGAACTTATTAGGAATGCAGGCATTGGAGTGTCATCTTTCCTGGATCAGAAACCCTCTAGCAGAGCTTCACAGGCCCCACCTGCCCCGCCCCTCCAGGTATGCTGATGTCCTCCACAGTTGGGGAGCCAATTCCTTGGTCATTTGTGGTGCTGGAAAATCCTTACTTCTCTGCACTCAGCATGATGCTTCCCAGGCTTCAGGATGAAGATTAAAAGTCACTTTCTCATTTAGAGAAATGAAACCTAAACGAGATGGGGCCTCCCTGCTGTACTCACAGCTGGTACGCTGATATTTCTTGACAGTTAGGGTTGTCCTGTCCTCTGGTTCCAGATACCATTTATTGATCAAGTGAGACTCCCATGAAAAATCACAGGATCTGACAAAGCAGAGCTTTTCATGGCCTTTCTGCCATGCACATTCTATGTGTGCCACGAATTCAATGAATGCACGCATGGGGTAAATCATATTTTGCTTTAGAGATGGAAATTAGATCTCCCTACTCCCTCTCACCCCATTGTCCAGGTATATTTCCCAAGTAAATCGCTATCAAAGACATGAACTAGATATCTTATTTTATGGTTTTGAATATTTTGTCTGTGAATGTAAGTTTCTAATGTCTGTTTGTGTCTGTGTACACGTGTGTGCACCTTAGTATATGTGGTTACTATATTCTACTTATTTATCGTTTCAAAGTCAGTGATGGGCGGGTACATGTTGTGAACAGAAATGAGCTATATCAAAATAATTTTACACTAACATAGAGTCAAATTTCAATGTGCTCAGTGTGTGATAGTAAAGTTACAAATTTTAATTTACCTACTTGTACTATTTCTATTCAATTGATGCTCCCTGTATATTTTCAATCACCTTTGTGATTGAGTTATTCTGCTCATGTTTAATTCTGCGACTTCAACATGAGAAGGGCATCAAGAGATGAATGTGGGGCAAGAGGGGAGGAAAAGGGGCTGAGAAAGGAATCGAGATGTGTTCTCTCCATGCACTGGCGCCACACCAGGTCTAAACATTGTGTGCTGCAAGCATGTATGAATAAAGAGTTTTTTTTTGCTTAATTGGACTGAATATTTCTTTTCTTGACTAAATTTCTCTTCTTTTGCACATTTATTTCATGTTTGCACATTTATTTCATGTTTCCATGATTTGAGTTCCAATTTCAACTTCTTAAACTTACACCTCTAACTCTATTGTGTGCCCTTTATTAGCCTCCCTTCCAACTTCCTGTACCAGTACTTATATTTCAGAATTTTGAATCTTGTTTTATCTACAAATCATTTGCTTAACAGATTGTGAGAGTCTGTCTTTCAATTTTATGCATTATTTATCAGCGACATCTTTTGAACATCATCAGAAAGCAGGAAACTTCGTTTCAACAGGAGAAAAATCCCACATGAAGAACACCGCACACTGAAATCTTTCATCTGGTTCTCTCCACATCTGACCCTCTTCATGTTCTATACACAAATTGTCCTTATGTCATCTACCCATCAGGATATTCATGTTAAGAATTTTTAAACGAAATCAATATGTGCGAAGAAAAACACTGGTGCTCGGATGTAGCATTGGAAAGTGGATTGCATCGTGGGCCAAAGAATAATCATTCAGCGTAAATAAAGACATACATGCACCAAGGCTGCCACGGCTACCTGCAACACCGTGTGCAGCTCCAGAAGGGACATTTGGAAAGGTTGGCAGTGAGCAGAACGTTCCTTGGAGGGAACAGTAATTGTACATGCTCTAAGACAGAAATATGTTTGTGGTCCTAGAGAAATAGAAAGAGAACCAGCACAGCTAGAGTCATGTGTGGGAACAGGGAAAGAGTGGGCTTGAGAGAAGTGGAAAAGTTGTCCTAATCCCAAAGTTTCAAGTAGACGTGAAAGGATGATGAATTTTACGGACCATATCTGCATCATTTCCAGCTCCTTCTGGT